GGTGCTTTCCAGCTACGTACGGTCGACACTGTGTAACACAATGTCCACTAGTGTGAATGAGATACACTGATATGCTCTTTCTCAAGCTAATAGACAGTATGTTATACATTTAACTTTCTCAGAAATTTGACGTGGTAGGTCGATTTCGCCGCCGGATTCGTTTTCAGTGACCAAAAATCCATTAAAAAACACTTTGTTTATTCAAGTATCAGCATATATTANCAAAACATTTATTCGCGTTGTAAACAAATGTACTCTTTAAATTATATTTAAGAATAATAAGAAAAGTATTTTTATTTATTGTTGCAGGTACATTGCATTGCAACACAGTTTTAGTAAAATAATAATTTAAATAAATAATAAATGAAATGTAGGATAGAGAGCTTGAGAATAAATAGATAAAAATAATTATATGTTAGTGAGGAACACAAGTGGTCTCGCGGACTGAGTGTAGGGGCTGCGAATATGGAGGTCTCGAGTTCAAATCCCGCTATCACATTTAGGATTTTTTCAGATTCGGTCTTTTTCAATGGAATTCATCGGTTGATCAACGAGCTGAATCAGACTTCTAGAAATTAATTCGAGTGAAATCTCGAATTACTTCCTTTCCGATAAGGCGATATACCACTGATTTTCTTTTCTTTTGTAGTAATTCCACTTGGATTCTAGGGGACAGATCTGATTTGCGTTTGGTAGCAATCTGTCGACGTTTCTGACGACAAATTTGGTCTGTACTTGCTACTGTTTTGTTAACAGTGCTGGTAACAGATATAATGTGTATTTGGCGCGATTTTGGCGCCAACAAACGATCACCAAATCTGGATTTGGTGCGTCACTTTGGCTTTGCTTTGCTAGTGGCAGACTTGTTATGATTTTGGTCTCATTTTGACATCTCACATGTTTGACAGATATGGTCGCCAAATCATATCCTAATGAGGACACAGATGGATATGGATTTGGTCTACTAATTTCGCCGGCGGTTGGCGACAAAACTGCGACATCTCGCAACCAAATTGTTTGCTGGGTATGTATATCGTATTTGTCCTACTTTTATTTGTCTTTTAAATATATAGTATATATACCATTTATCATTTTTTATACAGGATCGCATTAAACTCAAAGTTAATACTATGATTGAAGAGAATGGTAATAAATTTACCGTATCGTCGTTACAAAAGTTATCATACTTAGATAACGTTGTAAAAGAGGTTTTAAGGTTATACTCTTCCGCGCTTCTTCTATCGAGAGTGACAACAAAAGATGTAAAATTACGTGCGTATACTAAGTACAATACAAAATTTTGAACATAGTTGACTGTTTTGTAATAATGTAATATGTTATGTCAACTTATTTTGATTCTTTTTACTTTCACTTTATTATGATAAGAAGCAGATAATATACATTGTATATGCTTTTATAGAATTACACATGGTACCCTCGGGCACGGATATACTTATAAATATAAATGCAACTCACAAAGATCCGAATTTTTGGCCAAACCCGGAAGTATTTGATCCGGATCGATTTCTCCCAAAAGAATGTCAATCTCGTCACCTATACGCGTATCTGCCATTTAGTGCAGGACCGCATAATTATATAGGTATGTAAGACTGCATATTATTATTTTTTTATTTAGTCTAAAGATTATTCTATAATAAAAGTAGAAAAAAGTACCAATATTATCAAATAAAATAATATTATACTTTCACATAGCTTTTTTGCTAGGCAGGACGTATCGGTTTTTTTAATTTATAAATGTCTTATATTGCGTAACACATATATGAACACATTCTTATTTATTCTTACGACAGGTCAACAATACGCTAATTTAGAATTAAAGGTTGTAATAGCCTTGCTAATATAAAATTTCTATTTAGAACCAGTTGATCATTCGGAAAGTATAGAAGTAATAGTGAAAGTAACAATTCCCAGATAGCCAAATGTGAAAACTCAATATAAAGCAAATCATTGTATAGATTAAGTTGCTCGCCAATTGCTGTTATGTTGTTTTTATTTAATGCAACAAAAATGTTTTTGTCAATTTAGTATCAATATGCTGAGTTTTATTATCAATCAATTGTTGTAGCCAATGTTTATGGCAAGTGAGTCAGCAATATGTGAGCAATATATGAGCAACAATTTTTATTCATAAGTTGAAAAAAATAATATAAGTTTATTGCCGATGAGTTGTTGCGAACTTGCTGTAATTATATTTTGAAAACTGTTGCTGGTAAGAACATACTGAAAAGAGGATACACTCTTTTGTTACATTGCTGAAAACATATGAGCAATATTTGTGGCAAGTTGCAAACAACTTGCACTTAGTTGGCTATCTGGGTTAGTCCTACTCGTCCACTCTACTGTTACGTCCTGGGGACTCCACGGGCCCCTTTTTCTTGCAACGCGACGCGCCAACACATAACAAATTTCCTTTCTAGTAATAATAAAAAGCAATAAATAATCCGAGCAGACCTCCTATTGTTTGGAGACTTGGACTCCAGACGATAGGAGAGCAAACGGAAATCACACTGGCGCCCGAAAAGATAAACCGCGCCTAATAATAACCCGAAATTTTAAACTTATTGTTTATATATCCTAAACAAACCCGGATATCTCCGGGCCAGGAAGAACACCGCTCATAAAAATTAGAGCAGCCAGAGCAAATAGAACTCCGGCGCCACGCGCAATTTTATTATAAACAAATAGCAAAGGGTCTAGGTGGCGTGATCGAAAACCAACACTCTCCCTTTTCCCTTCTCCGGAAAATCGGACGAGACGACCGAGCCGAGAGATCGTCGCCGATTGACGATCTCACAAAGTTTACCCGACCACTAACTAACAAATGGGAACTGGCGAAGCTCGACTGAGTTTTCCGATTGGGAGAGTCCTCGCTTACTCAAAATTGTATATAAGCCAGGACTCTCAGAACCAAAGGCAAATAGAGCCGCAGATTTTAGAAGTACCACAGCGAGTGAGTGAGTGACAGTGAGTGCAGAATGTGAAATCCAAGAGTGAACTACTGCGCCGCAACAGCCTAGAATCTCTTATTAATCAACATCACTGGTCCGCAGTAAGTAGTAAGTTCACCCACAAATTTTAATCGGAGGTTTCACCACTTGGGGAATTCAATTCGTCAGGTTAGACTGACAAAAGTTCCGGTACCAGGAACTACGATCAGCCTATACTGTGACACAGCCTCACCAATAATACGGCCCTACGTACCAAAAAGGCTCCGACATCAGATCTTCTTATCGCTACACGGTCTATCACATCCCGGTACAAAAGCATCGGCCAAGTTGGTCATGCAAAAATACATATGGCCACACATCCAACAAGATTGCATCAGATAGGCACGAGCGTGTATCCCATGCCAGAAATCAAAGGTTACCAGGCACAACCAAGCACCGATCGGGGACTTTATTAGACCAACACGACGCTTCGAACATATCCACACGGATATAGTAGGACCACTACCGGTATCACAAGGCTACAGATACTGTCTTACTATAATAGATCGATTCTCAAGATGGCCTGAAGCAATACCCATTCGAGACATCTCAGCAGAGACAGTAGCACAACGCATCTTTACCCAGTGGATATCAAGATATGGCACACCCCTTCGGATCACAACTGACCAAGGAAGGCAATTTGAATCAGACCTATTCAAACGACTAGCGCAGTTGACAGGTTCCACGCACTTGAGGACAAACCCATACCACCCGGCAGCAAATGGGATGGTAGAACGATTTCATCGACAACTCAAGGCAGCCATAAAATGTCATCAAACAACAACCTGGTCAGAAGTCCTTCCAATAGTTCTCATGGGCATCAGAGCAGCCTGGAAAGAGGACTTGCAAGCAACATCAGCCGAGATGGTTTTCGGAGAGCCAATACGCCTACCCGGACAGTTCCTGTGCGAACAGAAGATCGACAGCGAACCGGACGACTATATAGGCAACTTACGGAAAGCCATGCGCAACTTACAACCAACAGTGAAGAGGCACGGACAAAATCCTATATTCCTGTTCAAAGACCTCGCAGCTACATCACACGTTTTTATCCGCCACGACGCAACACAGACAGGAACACTACGATCACCTCACGACGGTCCATACAAAGTTCTAAATCACGGCGAGAAAACCTTCAAAGTAAAAATCAACGGCCGGGCAATCAACATTTCTATAGACCGGTTGAAACCAGCATACATCCTTCAAGACGAAGATGAGTTAAGCAACGACACACAGAACGAACCTCAGCAGCCTGCACCAGCACAAAGACGGTCAAGCAGAGCTACAAAGCCAGTAGTTCGTTTTCAACCAGGACTTACCCACAACCAGGGGGGTCCTGTGGCGGTCAAAAAGACCACCACCAAAAAATAAAGTTACGTACGGCAGGACGCGCAGTTCGCGCGCCGCCGCTACGTGGCGCATGACCGCGAGTGTCGCGCGGAAGTACCTATTGCCGCGGCGTCTACATATATGGACCCGCTCGGCGCATATCTATCGCCGAACAGTGAGCGGCGCCGAAGCAGAAGACCAGCAGCATTAATCCCGAAGCACCTAGCAACGCTCCAGCGGTCCAGATAACCAGACCAACGCCTCCACAATCCCCAGGGGTACACCTCGGAGCGGTCTTCATCTCGGAACCATTTGGAGTGGCAAAACCAGAGGCAGCCAATCAGAAAGCGGAATCCACTGGACCAATAGAAGAATCGTTCCGGCCGTGGATACTCCGACCTCACAACATACCCTCGCCTCGGCGGACGCGGCCTCCTAGAGCCCTGCTAGCACAGTGGGACATCAGGGTCCGGAGATACACGTCGCCTAGAGACAGCCTGGTTCTTCCACCGCTCATCTCACCAATACCTTCTCCTCCGCGTCAAAGGATTCACAAGTCGACGCAGACACTTCCCCCACCTTGCGTACATAGAGGGGGAACGACTGGTATATAAGGATCAGTCCACGCAGTCGAGCGACAGTGACTGGGAACGATCGCCACGGGAAACTATTCCCACAGCAGTACAGACCGAGATCACCGGCGAGATCATCCCGCAGCGCAAACCGGAGAAGAAGCGGCAGCATAGAGAAAGAAGCCGTTCCAGACATCGATCGCCCAGTACGAGGAGAGCTCACTCCCGCAGCAGACGAGATCGATCACGGCATCGCAGAACCCGACGGAGAAATCCGGCACATTCAATTATACAAACCGGCTCTTATCAGAGCCATGTATATGTTGTAAATAACCTGTAAATACCTCGGAATACAAACCTAATTTTTGGAACATCAATCTTCACTAAAGAATCACACCTCGGCCGCCATCCTTTTGCTGCTATCATCACTGCTGCTGTCCAATATCGCTGCTGACCTAAACGCACAACCCCACTAAACATTATTTATGTGTCACTTAAATATATTTGTGTGTGACAAATATTTACAGAAATATTTCACACAGCGCGTAATATTGCTGCAGCTTTGTTATAGTATGACATAATAATATATCGCTGGAACATTGTGGTACTATTACAATATTACGCAAAACATATAATTCGTTGTAATGTTACTGCAATATTTTAACAATATTTCGGTACAGTATATGTTACTGTAAAATGACCGCAAGTTTGGGAACAATATTTTACTGTGATATATTTCACTGTAATATTATAGCAATATTGTAATAATATTACGCAACAAATATTGCACTGTAATATTATTAAATGTAATATTACTAAACTATTTCAGCAATATTGCCACAATTTGCGATATGATATATAACGAATTTAAATAACATTGGTAGTAACAAAAACGACACAAAAGCGAGCAACGTTAATAAATTTACTTTAAGTGTGCATATTCTAAACTTGCAATTCAAAATATATTCAATATTACAAAATATATTACAACTGGTGCAGATACATTGCACTCTAATATCTTTTAAATAAGATAGTAATTTAAATAATAAATGAAAATTGTAGGATAACTCGAGAATAAAGTAGACAAAAATAATTATATTTTAGTAACGAACAAACTGGTCTCGTGGACTGAGTCTGAGTGGAAGAGCTGCGAATATGGCGATCTCGAGTTCAAATCCCACCATCACCTTAGGATTTTTTCCGGTCTCGGTACCTTTCATTGAGTTAATCAGTTGATCGACGAATTGAGTCAGTTCTCCAAAAATTAATACAAGTGAAATATTGAATTATAATTCTCCGACAAGGCAATGTGCCATTGGTTCGGTTTTTTGCTGAAATATTGCAGTGACATTTTTAACGTATTACTGCAATGTTGCAATAATACTGTGATATCATTGAAATATTACTGTGATATTGGTGAGATAATGCAGAAATATTACTGTGATAAATTTTTGTAGACACAATATATTGCAGCAATATTATTGCAATAGTATCGCAATAGTACTAAGCAATATTACAATATTACTGCAATATTTACAATATTATTGCAATATTATTGCAATATTGCAGCAATATTACAGTGCAGTGCGGCGTATTACCATGCTCATAGACAGATACAAAGAATTATATTGAGTCAAAAAGTTTTATACCACTTTTGCAAGATTCGTAATAACTAACGAGTCCTTACCCTTACGAAAAAGAACTATTGCCGATTACATATAAATATTACTGGCAATTACACAAGAATATTATTAGGTATTACAGAAAAAATTATTGGATATCACAGAAAATATTATTGGATATCACAGGAAGTATTACAGGTTATCACTGAGAATATTACTGGCAATTACACAGAATGCTTCCCTGACGAAAATAAGAAGCTTTACAGAGCGTTGATAACCGTTTAATGAGAGTTTTCTGAGAGTTTATACGCTTTCAAACTTTATAAGAATGCTTATATAACGCCAAAAGGTTTGAACTCTTTTGGAACGCTTATCAAACG